ACCTTCCCTTTCTTTCCTCTTGTACTTATTATGTGCAAAGTCTGTATATGTTCTCAAAGCTCAGCTGAACAGTCAATTTTCGATACAATAACAGTCAAATATACCCTCGACCCTTTCTTTTACTGATTTGAATGTTTTAAATACATATTTGGCACAAATTAAATCTCCAAGAATGGCACAGTGAGTCAGAAGCTTATATCCATCATGGATCACCGGGTGTTCAAACAGCAAAAGAAGTTCTGACATACTGTTTCTGTCTGTTGTTTACTCGCCCTCTAACAAACAAACACACATACAAACACACACATACACCCCTCCTAAAAACTCTTCCCATCAGGAGCTCAGGCAGCCCGTCTGTCAGTCTGTCAGCCCATCCATCACTGTGCTTACAGCGCTCAGACTTTTCTTAAGAAGAGTAAAGAGTAGGAGGTTTAGCAGGCGGACCGAGAGAGAAAGTTATATTGAAGATGATCGGAGATGTAATGGATAAAAACACATTTTAAATACATTTTTCTGGATGTAAATGTACTGTAGGATTTATTTTAAGCCGGATTCCTAGCAGACTAAAGACTGAAGTATTTGAAGATATCCAATGAAAAATGCTAGTTCTAGTTGTGTCTATCATCATGCTGTTCCTCATTTATAAATGTGAAAAAAACATTAAAATAGTCAGACCCAGTTTCCCAGAACTCACTACTTTAAATTGCTTGTTTTGTCACACCAACAGTAAAGCCAACTATATTACAATTACATACACAGAAACACTCCATTACATAATGACATCTGAAAATCTAAAATACAGAATGTATTAAGGATTTGTGAAAGACACAAGAAAACGCATGGAATAGGCATAAAGGAAATAAAGCATAACATTTATGAGATATGCTCTAATGACATCACTGTCAACTTTGTGGTAACAAAATACTAGACTACAAAACCATCACAAAAATGGATCATTAGTTTTATCTGAAAAACCATCTGCTTCGGCAGAACGCCCCACTGCTCTTATTCCATCAGTGAGGGAAAGATTTTGCAGGAAAAAATATTTATGAATCGTATTACAATTACTCCTGCAAAATATTACTGTTGAATATGTGTACCATTTATTTCCTTCCTGCAGGTGTGCAGAGATTGAAATAATCTTTTACTAACCAGGCTGAGTCACAGTAGATTTCTTTTTTTATGAAAACACCCTCTCTCCCCTTGATGTCATCTCCTGCCACTGAACCACACACACACACACACACACACACACACACACTAATGAGGTTCTACGCCACAGCAGGGTCATCTACTGAGAGCAAACACTGACAAAACACACACATGTTAATGACTAAAAGCATGCCTGTAGGGTTTAATACAGCATGGGGTTGGTTTCATGTTACACAACTTGAAGAGCGTGACAAAACCTCATAGGTAACCAGAACAATCCTGGAAACTCACGACAAAACATAACCTTAGTGACACACATTAGACCAGGTCAGTTATTATTAACAGCCAATATTTGACTACTACAGTTAAACCATTATTGTGATCAAGCAACTCATAACTCACATTAATATGAATTGTATTGTTTGTATTTGTTTGAGTGTTTGTGTCCTCTAAGTTTCACTTACAAAGAAGCAAGTTTAATACGAAAAAATTCAAAGTGTTAATCAAATCAAGTTTTATTTATATAGCACATTTATAAACGATTTTTGGTCGAGCCAAAGTGCTTTACATATAATAAAAATAGCCTACAGTAGAGACACTTTACAGCAAATAGAACTGCACAGATTGTTCAGAATATCAGTATGAGAAAAAAAACGACACCCTCTGTCCTTAGATAGTTAAAATGTCTTCATATTCATTATTCTGTCTATTTGCATTCTTCAAATTCGTCTTAATTTTTGTTTACATAAGACCAAAAATGTATTGAATCAGAAGTTATATAATATTCATAAGTTCTGATATGGGAAAAATATATTGGTATACACAAATCCCACTCATCTTAGGAATACCCTGGTGGTCAACATGCTGGTTAGTCAGTTAGGAAGCAGAGCGCAGCAGAGAGCTGGTAACATGACAGCTAAACCGCCTGCAGGCAGACACACACACACACACACACACACACACATAAATCCTTCAGCTCAGTAGGTCCCCATCCTTCTTATCTGACACATATTTCTGCATTACACACATATCTGCCTGAAGCCTTCTTTAGCAAGATATAGGGTATGGTTTACATGACGCAAGCGCTCCATTCATGAACGGCACACCCCCCTCCTCCTAGTCTTCACTACGTTACAACTAATGCGATACAACGCACCACGTGGGGGTCCTTACCCCCTTTCCCAGCCAATCAGAGCTCACCGCTTAACGCAGCAGACACAAATACACACACGCTACGCTACATCCCCCGCCCATACACACACACGTGTGCATATGTACACATGTGAGGCTTACAAAGGTCTGCATGCTCAAGTTTCACATGACAGTGAACGGGGAGAGTTGATACATATGGTCGCATTCGCACACACATTCCTCCAGGCTCAGCTTCAAAGTCATATGATGAGAGGAATCAGAGTTAAAAGGTTGATCAAGAGATGATGAGGGGAAAGATGGAGTGAGTGATGGATGGATGGATGAAAGGATGGGGCGTAAAAGGTATGAAAGAAGGATAAAAAGGCAAGGGATGGATGAGGAATTGGGGATTGAAACATGGAGGATAGGACGGCAGGAGGACAGTGGTCAAAGAAACGGAAGCTAAATGAAAACAGCTCTTATCCCCCTTCACTTGCCTTGTAAACAACCTCCGTCTCTAGGCGAGAGAGCCGAGCCTCAGGGGAGGGAGGGGGAGAAAGAGAGGGAGAGAGAATGAGTGAAAACAAGATAGCACTGCATGAGGAAAGATATGAAAGACAGAGAGGGGGGTAGAGGGATAGAAAGAGAGTTGTTATGCCCCCACACACCATGACTCATCTCCGGTTTCATACCCAGCAGGAGAAGGGTTGTGTGTTTGTGTACGTGTGTGTATGTGTGTGTGAGTGTGATGAGAGTGTTTGGAGAGCATGGTACGTGCATCTGTACTTAAATATATGTTTAGAGTGAGCGAGTGGCACACAGAGCTACTGGTCTGTGTGCTCAAAATTCAAGCTTGTGTGTACTGGTCATGGTGAGGTCTCTCTGTGTGTATGTGTATGTGTGTGTGTGTGTGTGTGTGTGTGTGTGTGTGTGTGTGTGTGTGTGTGTGTGTGTGTGTGTGTGTGTGTGTGTGTGTGTGTGTGTGTGTGTGTGTGTGTGTGTGTGTGTGTGTGTGTGTGTGTGTGTGTGGGATGGTGGGAAGAGAAGGGTGGGGGTGAGCTGTCACAACTGGGAACATTTAACAAGTCCCCAGACAATTTCACCGTAATTGATTCAAGGCTACAGCCAGTTCAGCTTCACTTGTGTGATCCTTTAAAATAAAAATGTTGTTTTCTTCATCTGGACAAATCGATCATATCCGTTAATGATCAACACTAAAAGACAAACACTATTCTTTAGAGGTTCTCCAGGGAATTATGAATAAATGACCACTAGCTTCAGAAAATCCAACTAGAAGCAAATTCCCCACTTAAACCCATTAATCCTGACTTTGTTGTGCAATATGACTTATGTGCAATACATATATATAAACCACTTTATAGTTATTATTACTGGCTGGCTTACATGTTCTTTGTTATACGCTTTTATCCAAAGCGACTTACATACTCAATACTGTGGAAAATCCCCACGGGAGCAATTTAGGGTGAAGTGTCTTGCCCAGGGACACAACGACATGCTGACTGCAGTCAGTGGGGTTTGAACCTGTGCTCCCCTGATCCGAACACCAACGCACTAGTCCACTGCGCCACAGCCTCTTAGTTAGATAATTAAACTACTACATCTGTAAATAAATGTGCAATATATACTTCCACTTTTGTGGTCCATCTGGATGTGTATTTTTGTAAATGGGAATTTGTGTAATTTATTTGTATATCTTTACTATGCCTCTTAATTTGTAGTTTTATTTAGCTATTTGTGGCTCTTTACTTTTGTTTTAACAATGTATATTTCCCCTCTGTGGGACGATTAAAGGTATTCTGATCTAAGATAAGGATTCAACACTCAGTTAACCCAGGCACACAGACAGAGCTCTGACTTTGAGGAGGTAAACAACAGCCACTCCCCCCTCTCCTAAAGCCAGCTAGATCTGCACAGCACGAAGCAGGAGGAGGAGGAGGAAGAGAGGGTGAAGGAGGCAGAGAGGAGTTGCTCTAATTCCTTGATGTGTGTATATGTGTGGTTGCGTGCTCAGCCTTCCTAAAATGAGAGCTGCTCCCCCTGGTTTCCTCTCCTCCCTTCTACTGTGCAGGAACCTGCCGATCCTCCAGGGACTGTAAACGTTTGGTGCCTCCTCCACCCTGCACCCAGTCCTAACCGTCACACAACTTCATCTCATATCCTATCCTCCTATAAATGTGTCAAAAATGTCTGTGTTCCTGCTTTCACATTCGCCTGCAAGTTACAGCTCGCATTCCTGCTGCAAATGGCCCTATTTGTCGCAATTACGCGCAAAAATAACCACACTTGGACACTCTCCAACTATCCGCTCGCACACTCGATTCCCACCGGGGCGCGTTCACGTTACGTTCGCAGAGCTACAACATGACAAGTTTACCGGGTTTATTTCATCTTTCTGCAGCATGCACAGGGCTCTGGCTTCAGATTGGGTTAACGTTATGTCCATGTCTTCTTCACTGCAACATACAACACATACCCCCTGCTTCCCCTATGTTTGACCCACATGCACCGCTCAGTCTAACAACACAGCAGCCGCTGAATGAGACTGACAAACCCGCTGTAAAAGTGCAGACAGAGCCACTGCCCTGCCGCTAGCCTAGCACTGGTATAGCACTTGCAGCAAAGTGGACTTCAGCGGTCCTGCAACCCTCCCACTTTTACACATTATAATGTTTGCATAATAGTGCTAATGTATTTACCTTGATAGCAGTCGGCTTCGGATGCAGAGATGTCCACACTTCCAGAGATTAGGAGATCATTGGGAGCCAGGCACATGTAGTTTTACAGTGGAGGGGTTTAGCAGGAGTTCAGTTTTGCCCACCCGGTGCCCTGGCAGGCTGCTAGCAGTGCTGCTAAACAGCCCCGACTCTGGATCCACGTTGGGTGACAGGACTGTCCCTTCCCCTCCCTTCCCTCCCCCTCACGGTGCGTGTTGACAGCACGTCAGCCCTGCAAAGACCGGCCACCGAGTGCAAAAATCCGAATTAAAATCCCAAAGTGGCAGCCAGACTGAGTTGCAAGTCAACAACAACAAACACAGTGGTGGTCCTGCTGCTGCTGCTCACGGGTTAGCAGGCTGCGAGATGCGCACAACATACCTCTCACAGGAAAGCATGTCGCATTTTGCAAAAAAACTGCCCAAACGTGGTGTCAAAATCCGACGGTGTTTTCCTCTCCGGTGCCAAGCGGTAAAGGAAGGAGGTGACGGGGAAGCAAGAGAAGGTGGCGTGAAAAAAAAGAAAAAGGATGCTATATTTCCAAACGATGAGTCAGAAAAGATTGCAAGCCAGTTTCGCAACGTCCCTCCTTCAAAAATAAAACATTGAGTTCTCCTCGTCTTCACTTGCTGCCTTGCCTCGGTTCCTCTGCCCGGTGTACTGACGTGCACACACCGCTCTGCACAAATTCACTGGCAGGTCTTTGGGTTCAATCTCTCCCTCCCACCTCCAGAGAAGAATAAAAAACACAACACAGAGAAAAATCAGCTCTTATCATCAGCTTGAAAACTCTTTTGGCGCCATATTTATGGCGTACTTTCAATTCACTGTTACCGCAAGCTGCACTTCCTACTCTGAGAAATGCAAGATGACTGCGCCTCGAAGAGGAGAGGATGGGCATTGAAACTTCACCTGCCAATTTTACTGCCAGTAATATAGGCTTTTTTGTGGTGGAAAGTATTGAAATGACATATGAAAAAAAGTAATTCTGGTGAAGCTGATTATCATGTGGCAAGCTTAAAAGAAAACTAGTTCCTACAAATATTTGGTTTATTTTGTCATGGATGGCTCACTCATCCAATGTGTAGTGTGACAGCTTGGACATATGTAGGCTATAATATTTTCAATTAAAATTGTACAAAGTTTCTTAAATATGATCACTTTAAAATCACAAATAACTTAAACACAATCTGTTTTCTATGGCTGACTGACTGGACTACTTTATGTAGGAAGAATTATGTTAGAATTAAAACTCATTCTTACTTTGTCCAATAACTTCACATCAAAAGGAATTAGCAGCTTGAGCTTTGGTTCAAAGTAAAGGCCTGCATGTAGTTGGTCTTTACTGTAAGTGATCATATCTCTCAGTGATCCAAGGGGAATGACTCAGATTGGCAAGTAAATGACCTTCCTTAACATTTTCTGTACAATCCATATTTAAAACGGGTGGAGGGTGTTTTATCAATGTGTAATCTACTACCATCCACTGTCTCTAAATCACTGTCCTCTGCCAAGCAGAAGTGCATTCACTTATAATATCTCTACAATCTGACGTTTAAGGAGTGCAAGTTTCACACAAACCCCCCACTCCTAGATATAAAGTATGTGCAGCTTTTAGTTGTGCATCTCTTACGTGATAGACAACTGCTAATTATTTCCACTCAGCTTTTTTGTAAATGTCTTGCTAATACACATTGATGTAGAGCCAGGAGGTAGACTTCAATTAAGGTCATTCAGGAGAACAAATGGGATAATTATCCTTGTATCAAACACACACACATGCACACACTTCAGAATGTGCACACAGGCAAGGATGTCAGGTGCACAAATACTCACATCAGATGTATCAGGTGTCTCTCAGAAAGTGGAGAGAGGGAGAGGCAAAGAGGGTGTGATGCTGTTTTGCACTAAGTGAAATGAGGCAGTGAAGAACACGAAGGAGGGATTTCATGGCACACATTGAAATGCAACAGCAGCATCCCACAGTTTGCCTCCTCGTCTTCCACACAACGCAGGTAGGCATGCATCCCCTGAGGAAACAGCCTGTGACCCTCCCCACGGTCCTTTCTAATGTGAAGTAATGCAGTTTACTCTCTAATGAGATGCACACGATGGAAGCAGATCCCCTCATCTGGGTCAAATAGCCTAGTGTTTTTGTGGTAATATTCCCCCATATCCAACAAATGCCATTTACTGATAGGCAAATACAATGACAAATACAACATCAAGTTGTATTTGGTGAATGGCATATTTTCTGTGAAATGCTGAATTTAAACCTCATTTGTTTTGTCTCCTCCATTAAAGACAGTGGCATTAGTGTGTCAAAAAGCAGACAAACATCATTTGCTATTCCCTTTGTGTTTAAATCCATACACTATCTTCAGAGGTGTGTACTTTTTTTTTTTTAGTACTCCAGCCAAGTTAATTTGTTCCAACATGTTTTTTTAGTTTAGCTTTTGTATTCAAGGCACATGAACTCAGTCAGTGTGAGTTCCTGTTGATATTATCGAGATCACTCTCCCACCACCCCACCCACCATAACTGCAACAGGACGCAAACACACCATTCACCAACATTACACAGTTTTTCCATGACATAATAGGTTTCACTTGATTTTCATAACCACAGTTAACAAGATCAGTATGTGTACAGAGATGACCAAATGAATGTTTATGCGTGGAGGTGTTATAATGAAATGTGTGCACTGAGGAGATGCATGCTTTGCATCATGGCCCTAATATGTCATCTTCAGTTAGGCCTATAGATGGGTATATATAAAAAAAATGTAAAACAATGCGTAATAGCTGTCAGGCCCTACTGCTCCAGCATCTCTACGTGTCAAGTGCACTACATTTAATTAGACTGGGTCCCAGGGTGCAAGGCTACATTTATCTCTTTGGATCCCAAGATTGAAGATTTTAAGCACTCCTCCTCTACAGGAAGCTAAAGTCAATGCAATGTCAAGCGTGACCTTATTTTGATAGACTGGAGTTTTAGAGATTTTCTTTCTGCTTTGTTTTGTTGTTTGTTGAAACTGTTCTGTTGTTCTCCCTAGTAGCCCCTAGGTGGCTGATGAGCTAGTTTTACTGCTTAAACCCCCAAAGACTAATGGTCTCAACTTACATTTCAGGTAAATAAAGGGATTTATGGGTGTTATTGATCTGGCAAGCTGTGCCTATAGGTGCATTTACTGCTGAGAATTTTGCAATGGCGAGCCTTTTAAAACTGGCTAATTGGTACATCTAGAGCAAAATAAAGCTACAAAGATTTAATTGTGAAGAGTTGTTTGTTTTTTTACCTTTATTCATCAAGAAGTTTCTAGACATTGAAATTCTAGACTGGTCAACATTCACATAGTAAAGAATAATAATAAAAAATAGTAAAATACAAGATAAAACACATTCAAAACAATATGATGTTATTTATAGATGTCTTCCACATTGAACATTGAACTATCTTTTTATGTTTAGAGTTAAAGTTGAAGTATAGTTTGGCTTATTATGTATAAACTCATGAGATAAAAAGTAGCTCATTTCAAAATGATCGTCTGTCATGGGTGTTGGTGCAAACAGGAAATAACAAATAAGAATAGATAGCACTGAAACGGAAGTCTGATGTAAGGGTTTTACTTTTTTTATAGTGACTTTATAGTAATGGAAGTCATAGTCTTAGCAGAAATATCAATCCAGCTTAACGTTTAGTAATATTTAGTCACAAAGATTACTTGATAAGGGTTATGGAAAGATTATAGCTTGGGTTATAAAAAGGTAAAGAAACAATTGTGGCACACTTTCTTTCTTTGCTCTCCACAGAAAAAAGTAACTTGAACGTACAAATGCATCATTTTGTGGCATTTGATGAGACTTGTTTTTCTTGGGACTGTGAAAAATGACAAGAAGAAGTGCAAAACTTAGCACAATAATATTCAACACAAATTCAAATTAAAGAGAAAATAAATGGTAGAATTATTATAAAGCAATTAAACTCTTCCTGTTTTAAGGCCATACTAGCCTTGTGATTTGTTCTGCATAGTTGAATGTTCATTAGAGTCAGGTTTAAAAGACTTTACTTAGTGAATAACTGTAGTGTATATCCTTATACACATCTCAGTATCTTCTATAACCATAAAAGTATGTACTATAAATGGTATTTGATATATATAATAACTTTCTCAGCTGCCTGTCCCATTCTCCTCACATTAACCTTGATATCCACAGACACTTTTTCAGAGTTCTTAATCTTTTCTTGTTGGCCCTCCCCTAGGACTGTGGCTGAAAGGACTACCTGTTGTCTGTGTGTTTTCCCAATTATAGTTTTCCCCTGAGTAAGCATGCATTAGGTGACTCAGCAAGAACGGCTGTCTGCCAGAGCTGCCTCGAGCGCAGTGTATTATTTCAGCATCAGTGTACATTTCAGGCAGAGTGAGGGGGAGAGCGAGCCCATAAACTTAATGGGTAGGTTGACTCAATAAAGGGGCAACTTGTATGACTTGGAAGCGGCCCAAAGGACATACACAGGAGTGCCACTGGGGGGTTTTCTGGGGGCATTTAAGAGGAGCTGAAAGTGTGTGTTTTATGTGTGCTTTGGTGTCTCCTTGTCTTTCTAGGACTCAGAATGTCTGACAATATAATATTATAGGGGCCATTTCTTACAGAACTTGGTTTAGAGCTGTCATAGTTAAGGGTAACATGTTAAAAGTTGGTTCATTTGTGTACATGTATGCAATTATGTGGGAAATTTTGTTTTTCTCAAACACAGGTCCCGTATGCAGAGGGAAGACTCACACAGCATTATATTTCAGTGTTAACCAAGTTTGTTCTTTACTCTTTTCCCTGCGTATTAGTAAAAGACTCGATTCAGAGCATCAGGAGAGTTTAACCTGTCGGAGCAGTGTTTTTTTAGCCACTTGCAGTGCATGAAAGTATAATTACAATGTTCAGAGCTCCATTGAAAAAAGGATATAGCTCAAACATGTAGGTTAAGTGAAATAAGCAACAAAAAAAAAAAAAAAAATCATCATTATTTAACAAGGTAATTGTTAAAATATAGCCACAGAAACATCCAGTGCCTCATAATAATGTGCTTTTTAAATCAAAATGTTGTTTTACTCCTTCTGTTTTAACCATACAGTAGACTGTATATGGTTTTAACTAGAAGGAAAATATACATTGATACAAATGTGTGGTCGAGAGTCATTCAAATAGATACACAGAATGCCAACAGTAAAGTACCTGTCAGTGTCCTTTTATTTATTTATAGATTTTACAAGCATTTTATGTATATAGTCATTGTTCTATACTAATATGTTAATATGTATTTATTATGAATCATGAAACGTTTCATACACTACTTCATTACTTGCACATCGGTCACTTGCAATATTCTCACTATTTTTGTTTCTATTCTGTTTGTTTTTGCACTATTTTCATAGGTGTATTGTTTATGTCTTCAATACATTTATGTGGAATTGTTGACGGAGCTTTAAAGATTTATATTGACATAAATACACTGTAGCTACTAGGACAATAAAACCTTTGCATATGTAATTTAATCACTGAGCATTATAGGGTTTCAGCCAGGTAAAGTGTAGTTATCGGATCCCCCGCTGCGTGTCGCTGTTTCTCAACACGATACCTTTAACAACACCTTCCGAAACTCGCTTCCCAAACCGGAAGCTGCATTTGTTGAGCTTCCTGAGAAGAAGCAAGATGGCTAACCTGGACGTAGAAGAGTTTATCCAACAGAACAGAGCTGTGGCAGATGAGGTGGAAACGTACCGGGGTTACTGGGAGAGCGAAAAACACTGGCAGCCGAGGAGGGAGTTCATCCTGCGGAACATCAACGACTTCGAGGAGCCGCACATTGACCAGCTGCTCGCGCTCTCCATGGTGTGGGCCAACAACGTCTTCATGGGCTGTCGGTGCGTAAACACAACGTGCTCCACTGATGCATTTGTTTTTGTGAATGGCTTTTAAAAAATAACCTCTAATTTAATATGTTCACAAGTAAGGAACCCACTTGCAATTTGGTTCAATAACCATTATATTGAGGATGCGACATTACATACAGCAGAGGGGGAAGAAGTACTCATATCTTGTACTCAATTAAAAGTAGAAGTACCAGTGTGAAGGGATACTCTGTTACAACTTGAAGTCCTGCAATCAAATGGTTATTCAAATAAAAGGAGCATCTATGATGAACAATACCCACCTTTATGTGGATGAGTGTTTTTGGATTCAAAATATTGTTCTTCGTCTGGTCTCACAATTGGCTCACTGCTGCCCCCTGTGTCCGGAGGAGGACAAAAATATGGGCTCTTCGTCAAAACTCCTAATTTGTATATCAAAAACAGCATGGTAGTACACAAGTTTGTAGTATAGGCTATTGGTAGTACACCAGTTGACTTCAGTCAGTTGAGGTTTGGATTTGTGATGCCACTATGGATCTTCAAGTGTGTATAAAGCAGATCTAATGAATAATGCAGTTTTATTTAGGACTTCTTATGCCGGCAATCATTTTCACAACTGGTGGGTTATAGCCAGACCGATGCAATTAATGTTTAACAATACTGTTATATTAATTAACATACCATTTTCCTTCCATAATGACAGGTATAGCACGGAGCTCTTGGAGAAAGTAAGGGAAATGGCTGAAGGCATCGAGGTAGAGGACGCACCGGTCTTCAAGACAAGAGATGAGATTATGAAGAAACAACAGGTAAACCTTTGGACAGGCACAGACAGACACACACGTCACCAAATACATTATTTCATTTATTCCTCTTTTCCATAACAGGGTCAATGACCGGTTTACCTGGTCTTTTCTGGTCGCATGGGAACAAACCTGAAGACTGACGCATCTCGGATGTTGTTTGAAACCGCCTGAACCTTTAACAATGTGTTTGAACAAGCCTACACTATTTATTACTGATGTGACGAGTGTAAGCATTTAAAACATTTTTTTAATCAAAAGCAGGACTTCTGTGTTCCTCAGCATCCATTGTTGAGTCATTGAAGTTGTTTTGTGCAGTGTGGGAGCTTCACTGCTCATCCATTTCAACTCAACATTGTTTTGTAGCGAACTTGTTTTCAGTATTTTTTTTATACACAGATATGAAAGATGAATCTTGTCCTAATGTCCCTGTCTTAACTACAATAAATGTGTTTTTTTTGACTCATTGGATTGTATTTTCTTTCTTAAAAACACACATTATAGTTATTCTGTTCTGTTGGGTCTTTGTATGTGAACAAACTATGCTCGAGGTAGGGCTGTCCCGAATACCATTTTTCGGGCTCCGGATATTCGGTAGTAATCAGCAGCGAATATTCGGTGCGGAGAGATTTTTTATTTTTTTTTAATAACAAAAAAACATTTAAAAAAAATGTCATAACACGCTCCGAATCCGAGACACCTGACAACACGCTGTTAAGCAGAAGCGCAGAAAGAGCATACTATTACGATTTATATGTATTTATTGTCTCAGTACTCGCATACATTAAAACTAAATGTGTCCTCTGCATGTAACGCAGCGCAGCGCTCGGGGACCAGATCTGGTTCCAAATTCCGTCTATAACGTTTTACAACCTGAAGATACGAAACACATATTTCTATTATAACAACAATACTTTTAATAACATAGCCGTAACAGTAGGCCTAACAGTGTAGTACTTGTTACCGATACAGTAAACAGTATTTAAATAAATGAACTAACTGTATGCCAATAATTGCCTTAGCCCCAGATGTTCCCACATTGCTCCTATTATTTTCATTATTCGGATCAAATTGAAAAACTAATATAAAAAAACTATTCGGTTGCTTGCTTGCAACTATTTTGCAAGCAAAGTAAGTGCACGATTTTATCATGTGTAACGTTACTGTTTAAACGGCGGATAAAGCAGCTTCATCACGGCAACTTGACAACAGCTAAGCTAGGCTAGTATTTACAGCATCCAGTGACTTTTCAGAGTTGTTGTGCCACCGTGGTAGGCCAGTTTCTTGTCGCATATTTGGCACACTGCCTTCTTCTTACCGTCGTCCAATTTAAAATGGTCCCACACAGCTGAAGTCTTAGGCATTTTGTGTTCAGGTGTGTGAAGCGAGGTGAAGCGTGCCGTTCGTGACTGTGAGTGAACGCGATGTCAGGAGCACAGGCTGAGATTGTATATATTTCCGCATTTTAACAGTGCAATTCAAAAGTATAAATATAGTATAAGAATATGGCAATTCGCCTTTATTGATAGCATACATTTAGGAAAAATGTAAAAAAAACGAATATCCGAATAATGAAATTTAAAACCCGAATAGTTGGCCAACGAACGCATATTCGAATATTCGGGTACAGCCCTAGCTCGAGGTAACATTTATTTCACTTTCCTTAACACTATGCTCAGCTGTCTTTTGCTCAGTAACATTCTTGTCTGAATTGGGGCAAAAAGAAGCAGCACATTTGTCATATTGTCAGTGTAGGGTTGTTTTAACATCTTAATACTTTATCTTCAATTTGGTTGAATTCCTTTAACCATTCCGGAGAACAGGCCCAGTCATGACTAGAGAACATTGTATTTATTTTAGGGTTGTAATAATATCTCAGATTTAAACAGACTTTTCCCTCAAATTAATTAATCTCATAGCTTCGCCGATCATAGCATATTGTCTGTTTCTAAGACAATGTTAAATGAGGCAAGAACACGTCTCAAACTCTGAAAAATGTGTTTTATGTTTATACAGCATATTGTTATAAGTACATTTCTTGATTAATTCACAATCTTTATAACATACCTTCTCATTTTAAGTGAAATAATTCTAGCCACTATGACTTTATACTGTGAAAAGAGAAAGTGGTTTATGATAGCTGTCTTCTGTGGGTGTTTTAGCTGGGCAGGGTTAAGTCATGACTTTATACTCAAGCTGTGTCTTTATTGGGTATCGCATACAAATTAAAAAAAATAGGAAACAAATGCAGGCATGAAAACAATGAGCCTTTGGGGGAACAGTTGATATCACACTGTTAAACCGGGATATAAACATGTGTGCAAGTGTCTTTTTTGATCTAGCTCACTTGTCAGCTGTGTCATTTGAGAAAAGGATGACTGACACATCGCAGGCAACAAAGTATTTAAAAGACATTTCGGCAGATGAACCCCCAGTGATAGGTGTACTAGAAAAGATGAGCACAGTAAAACAGATATTGTGGAGATAAATTATATTCCTTTTACCAACTTAATGTTGATTCTACTTGCCTGTAATCACAGCTTGCTACTAATGTCACTCAAGCCCCATTAGGCCTGAATGCACCATAATAAAAGCACCACCATTCAAGTCAATCCTTAGGTACAAGCTCTTTCAAGCTCAAAGGCCCCTCTGCCCTACATACTTTGATAACATTTCACAATGAAAGACACTTGTGGGAAGACTGACATGTAGAAAATGCAATGTTGATAACACATCCATTATTTCCTTTAAACTGACTGTTCTCCACAGTCCTAGTTCAACTCTGTGCCATCTTTGTGTTAATATTAACTTTCTCCTTCTCTAACACTCTTCTACCCCAGAGCAGAAATGATTGGAATAAAAGCTCAGCTATCCAGGGAGTGATGATTCATCGGTGCCAGGGAGAGTTGGCGCTGCTGCAGCCTGTGACGTCTGAGAGCCCAGACCTTTGGTGTCTCTTAAAATAACAGCGATATGCTGCGGATAGATCTCTTTAAAGCTGCAACTGAGGCTGACTTAGAGAATAACAATGATACCCACTCTGAAGGCCATTTGTGGGGTTGTTATTCTTCCAAATTATGCAGATTTGTTCATCAACATGCCTAAGCCAAATTGTGTGCACACCAGCAGACATCACAAAAAAGGGAAATCAAAAATAAGGGGGGAAAACAATCTGTAAAACTCAAACAGCATCAATCCAACCAAACAAAGATATATTACAAATTCTGTTAGCAATAACTTAATTCACATCATGCAATAAAAACAAAAGTAAAATTAAGGACAAGAAAAGACAAATATAAGATTGATTTCCCCACCCTTGTTTTTCCTAAAATGTATTGGCAAGCAAGTTTATGTCCATTCTGGTTTGGTTGTTCTCTGGATGATGTTTTCCTATTATTTCTTTAAGGGTGGCACTTGAGTTCTTCTGATATAGTTGCGGTTTTCTCTTGATGAAGTCAAAATGAAGGAGGTGATGAAGAGATGGTGGGGGAGGGAGAGGAGAGCAGCTCAGACGTCCACCCAGCTCTGCTCCACGATGGCCGTCACCCTCTTCTCGTACTCCCTCTTGTTTTCCTGATAGAGCTGTGCGGCCTGACTGTTGGCCGGGCTGTTGGGGTTCGGCTCGTCCAGCAACGACTGCAGAAAGAGAGTGAAAGTTAGGGAAATATCCACATAGCCTTTGCAGGGTTGGGAGGGTTTCTTAAAAAATGTATTCCATTAAAATGACTAGTTACCTGTAAAGAAATGTAATCAGTAACCTAATCCGAGTATCAAAATATAAAGTTATGTAACCTGATCAATATATAATGCCATGCTAATATATAAAAGAGAAGATATATCAATAGGATGTTTTCCACTTAACGTGTATTATGCAAGACAGAGCAATCTGACCTTAGAAAAGAAGAACAATAAAGATATTTAGGATCAAAATGAGTTTACTTATAGGAAAACCTGCCTTTCATTAAGCATATTCAGGCAGTAGCCTATACACCAACAATGAAACACATGAGCACATACTACAGTTTAAAATAAGCAGAAATAAATCTGATGAATAACCTCTTTAGTTTTTACATTGTAATACTGCTAGTAATCCACAATGTTTTTGGAAATGTAACAGTAATCTGATAACGTCTATTTTTAAAGTAACTTTAAAGTGGACCTATCATGCTATATTTGAACAATATATTGTAGGGCCATACTTATATAAAACATGTCTGAAGTTTTTTTTTCAAAATACCAAACACATCATGCATTTTAGCCATTTTAGCATTTAGTTCGATTTGCTCTTTTCCAGAACTGTTTTTGCAAGGGCTGATTCTGTGACGTAGCTTTAATGCAAATGAGCTGTAGCTGACCACGCCCTCCTGCAGGAGAGGGGAGCGTGCTCTGATCAGCTGCTGGGCTCTCAGAAGAGGGGGAGGAAAAGAGGCTCCGCCCTCCGTGTTTTAATTCTTATGATTATAAAGAGTCGTTATTCATTTGTTTTAAAGCTCAATAAATAAAAAAGAAGACCTTTGACCGGCACTTTTCTAATTTTGTCTGGAAGATTTAAACTTTAACGGACATGTTGACCGGCGAAAAAAAATCTAACTGAAACTCTGCCGCACGGTCCCCTCGTCCCTTGGAAGAGGCGGAGAGGTGGGTGTTTGTCATCTGCTGGTGGCAAACCGGAGAGAATTGCAGCGAGGGAGCAAACGCTTGCCTCGGGGAGGGAGAAAAAGAGCCGGGCTGAAGTCGAATAGTCCATTTAGCTTAGGAACCTTCCTAACGGAGTGAAATGACCCGGAAGTCCCTCAGTGGCAGCCATGATAAGTGCCGTTCGAATTCTCTAGATGATAAGAAAGGAGGTTTCAAACTTCCTTTAGCTTAGGAACCACTGGACCTCCCTTGACGAAAGGAGAGGAGAAAATGCTGCCCCACAATGCCTTGCGGCCGCAGCATTTGCCGTCAAACAACAGTCGGCCGTTCACGGAAACAACCGATTATGACCGAGAAATGATATCATGAAAGTTACGGTGCTTATTAAGCTTTTTAAAATGTAGGTGGAAACTTTCCAAAGTGCTTTTTTCTGAACGTTCATCAGTATTATAATCAAAAAGAGAAATATGAACGTTAGTTTTTACTGAAATGATCAAATAAAGTCAACATTTCACAGTCTTTACTGAGCTGTGTGGGGTTTGTTCAACTTTTAAAAGATGTTTGAATGGTGATATACACAGTGATAGATGTTAAGGACTAACGTTTATAATAAATACATTTGTATTGATTTTAAGATCTTTTCATCATACAATCATACGTATTGGGATCATTTGTATTAATGTGGACCGGAGGGAGAGGGTGACGAGCTTTCCTTTTTTTATTTCAATTCCAACTTTGGTCATGAAGAATATGTTTCTCTGTTGTCCACGCTCATAAAGCATAAAGCAACAGCATCAGAGCACGGTGCAGAGTCTCTAGATGAGTTTA